CCTATATTTGAGTTGAAAAAGAAGTTGCTTTTCTAATGAAAATGCACCTGTGCCTTTCTTGTCTAAAGTTAGCGTTGTTGTATGGCATGAAGACAGTTATTCTAGCGAAAGAGAATGAACGACACTTGAACTGCCTGCAGCAGCCTTGGCTTTGACGGATGTTGAAGATTAAATGGCAGGACCACGTAAGGGATTAATCAATTCTATTCCGGGCATAGCTGAACTCAGTAGATGGGGAGATTAAGAATAGGAACTTGAGCGTGCTAGACAAGCTGGTTGATCATAAATCGTCTGCTCCAGCCCATGACGTTCTCGAATCACAGTTTATGTCGACCAAGAGGCCATTATACAACTGATAAGCAGATCTGCTTTCGGAGGGGATTTGTTCTTTCTACGGTACGTCAATCGGTGTTTTAGAGAAAACATGTTGAAAAGTTGCGGATAGAGCACGTCAACATGTTGGTCATACAAACGCACAACACTTCATTGTTTGAAGGTGTTTGATCTCGGTGTTGAATGGAAATCAGTAGCTTTTAAGTACGTCATAGCAGAAATTAGCAGACCAGCTGTGACCGCATCTTTGGTGTGTTTTTCTGGTGTATGTTACGAAGCTTTTTTCCTCGATGTGCTCCTTATGATCACATTTTTTGTTTCTGAACATTTTTGGCCTTACATCCTGTTTACCTTAGGTTCAAAGCTTCATGGTGTGAGCAATTCCGGGTTCTTAACTGGCGTTGCACATTGAGCTCGATCCGCAACAGACGGTTCGTATTGGTGAAATATCTTCAGAAAATTGTAAGTTCTTTCTTGACGTTAATTCGGGTACGTAAAGTTTGAGACTGGTTCCTTAGATATTCGCTATTTTCGTTGGAATGCTCTATTTCGGAACGACGCTTGACCAAGCGGGCATCATGAGTATCAATGGCGCTCTGTTTTACCTGTTGGCCGAATTCAGTTTTTCCGTGGCATATGTGGTTCTCAATGTACCAACGATTCTTAACGGTTCTTGTTATCGTAGCCTTAATTACTGTTCTCCTTTCAGCTGCTGCCTGCCGAATATCCGGTTCTCATTCGAGAGCACCACAGTGGACTTTACAAAGTTAGTAGCTACTATATAAGCAAGGTGTTGTCTATGGTAAGTCAATTTAGGATCACTGCAGACCTTATAAATATAGTATAATTTTATTTTTTATAGCAGGCTGTCTTTTGGACCTCAAAAGATGGTTAATTTTTGTAGTTGATTCATTGCAGGCTTTTAACCGATAGATTGATTGGGGTTATTCGACAAGTTAACCTAGTCGATTTCTGGTTAGGTTTGATAAAACGGAACACATGTTAGCTTCTGTTTCGACATACTCATTAGCAATGATGCGATCAGTCTTGAGAATATTAATCACAGATTTCATCCTTTGAGAAATGAACCATTCAAAACCGGATTTTCACAGATGATATAATGGTCACGACATATCTCTAAAATGAGATGATTCTATAAGCTACATTGTGCATTCTGAAAAGTTCGATTTGTGAGTTTTGATGTCCATTTGTCCTTTCGAGCCGTGCAGGCAGGCGCCCTCCCGATTCTGCACCGGTGTTTGAGCATCTACAGAGGATAACCGGAATCTGGAGCTAAGTCCTTCGAAACATTTGCCGTAGGTTATTCTTGGCCGTCTCCATGGTCAGTTGGCACGTAATAGCTGTTTAATATTCGTTTCTGGAAGCAGTAGCAAGACGTGCCCAAATTATCGCAACGCGACTTCTCAATTTGGAGAAGCCACAGCTGCTTTACACCAAAGCTTTCTCATATACGTATACTTTGCCTATGTTGAGATGCATGATCCCAACGATTCGTCTTAGAAAGCCTATTTCAGCCGCGTGTACCTCAGGGTCGAGTTTTTTCAGTCATGACCCACAACTCATTTTCGTAGGTGAGCATCAACATAAATGAGTGGAGATTTATCTTGAGACTCAGCTCTGCTTTAGTCAGAACGGTTCAGACTAATTCACACAGAACGACGAAGATCACAAGTTAGACCAACGACACCATACAGGTATGAAATCCGAGTCCAGGTAAAGCCATAGCGGATAAATATGGTGCCGTAGGTTTATAGACAGAAAAGGTATGATTATTTTGTTTTTCTTCGTCTCTCTGTGTGTATATCAGATATTCATATATTTCCATAGCTGCAGTACGATCTTAGGTTCCTGTCTATTCGATCGACGCATTCATTTTTCTAGCCATAGCTTACTTCATGGTGGGTAAGAAGTTATTTAACACTTTGCAGATTTTTTTAA